GCTCTCGAATTAAGAACTAAGCAGTTAGAACAAGAATTAAAAACTGCTCAAGCTGAGAGAGAGAGAGAGAGAGAGAGAGTTTATTGGGGTGTTGGAGGAATAGTAATTGTATTTTTTTTGATAACTTTGTTGATTATTACTCGGAGAAAAACTTATAGAAAAAAAAATAAAAAGGATCTTTAGCTCAGTTGGTTAGAGCGTCCGGCTCATAACCGGGTGGTCGGAGGTTCGAATCCTCCAAGATCCACCATTATTTACTAACCAAAATACTAAAATATGTATAATAATATGGAATCAATTATCCTCAAAAGTGCTCCTATCGCTATTTCTCCCCAAAAAATGAACTTAGTGGCTGGTCTAATTAGAAAAAAAGAACTAGATTATTCCCTAAAAATTTTAACTTTTTCACCAAAGAAAGGTGGGAAAATACTTCATAAATTATTACAAGGAATTGCCAAAAATTTAGAAAAAAACCAAGAAAAATTAAGTAATTTTTATCTGAGTAAAATAGAAGTAAACCAAGGACGAACCCAAAAAAGGATGATTTATCGAGCCAAAGGCCGCACCGACAGAATAAGAAAGAGATATAGTTTAGTTAATTTATATTTAAGTAAAAAATAAAAATTAATTCCTATATAAAATATAAATAAGAAATCAGCAGATTTCTAAAATATTAATGAATAAAAATAAAAATTATGTCAAACCAAAATCTTAATTGTGCGAAATGCCAAAAGAAGTTAAATTATCTTCCTTACCATTCCTATGCCGAACTGCCAACTTTAAAAAGTAAAGACGGACAATTTTACTGTTTTGATTGTTTTAAAAGTGTCTCCTGTTGTAAAGTTTGTGGCAAGTCAGCAGCTCAAATAGACATCAATATTGACGACAAAAAAACTTGGTATCAGCCGTGAGAAAAAATTTATTGAAGAGATTGTGAGAATAGCCATCCGTTTGATAGGTGTGGTCGATATTGTGATTTTCTTTGTTCGCCCGAATGTTTTGCCAAAGACGATAATCGAAACCACGAATTATGAAAAAAAAATCAGTCAGAAAAATTACAATTAGGTTGAAAACATTGCGAGGAGTGTGTCAAGTTATTTAACTGAATAAAAGAAAAATCACAGGGAAGGGACTGTGACGATATGCTTCTTCTGGGTCTCGGCAACGTAGTCCCACCAGGCGAAACAATATGTAAAATGCATAAAAGGTCAAAAGAGAGCGACCTCTATATTAACCAAGTAATTCGTCCCAAGGCTCAAAAATATTGAGACTCATTAAGCCAAGCCGAAAGGAAAGCCGAAATTTTGGCTATTAATTATGATTATTACCGTAATAGTGCTGACAAAATCGCTGCCGGTCAAGAGGTTCCGTGAGATATTGTGAGAGAGAAATTTAAATATAATGAACCTTGTATCAGTTGCGGAAAAACTTGAAAAGTGGCGTGTGAGATAAATTGCGGAAAGAATTCTCCTAATGGCAAGCCTTCCTACTGTGCTTCTTGTCCTTCGTCCGCCGAACCCAATAAAAATATTTCGAAAAATGAAACTAAAATTAGTCAAAGTAGCGTTATAGCCGAAATAGAAGCCAAAAAAATTCAATTACGAAAACTGAAAGTCGAGCAAGGTGAAAATTCCGAGGAAGTGGGTAAATTAGAACGAGAAATTAAAAAATTGCTAAGCGAGCAAAATCCCAAAAATTTCTCGCCAGAAAAACTACCTAAAAAAGATATAACTTTATGAATTATCGGTGGCGGCTCTTTTATTGTCCTATTCGGAATTATTATAGTGGCAGTAAAGACTCAATGAAAAAAGAATAAAAATAAATAATATAGTAAATATATAAATATTATGAATAACAATAACAATAAAATCTACCAATGTAGTCAATGTAAAAAGAACTTTCCCAAGTCAGATGTTTACCGAATTGGGATAAAAAAGAAAGAATTTTTTTGCCGCGAATGTGCTAACAATATCAAAAGTGAATGTATGTGGTGTGGTAAGGAGTTAAAACAAAAAAAATGAAAAGGTGGCAGCAGTGGAATTAAATCCGAAGAGGGAAAATTAGCCGAAACTATCGACCGTGATAATCTTCGAGGAGAAAGACATAACAAATATTATTTAATTTGTGAAGAAGGAAGAGAATGAGGTATTCTACCTAACGGCAGTTGTGCCAGCCGACATAATGATTGATGGGTAGAGAAAGGAGACCAAAAACGACAAAAAAAGCAAAATCAGGGCTGAGAAAAGTGCCAAGGCAAAGTGATTTATCATAAAGACCCCAAAACGGGAAAAGAAATGTTTAACTGGAATTGCTGAGAACTGGTTCCGCCCGGAGAAAAATTATTATACCGCCGTTTATAAAAATGAATATTCTGAAGAAAGAAAACGAATAGCCGACAAATGAAATCAACGCGACCAGGAAAAATACCAAAAAGCCAACGAGTGGTGAAATTCGTTAAGTTTAGCTGCGAAGCAAGCCGAATTGCAAAAAGAAGAAGAACATTTAAAAAGTTTGGGATTACAACGACAAAGATGCTGGATTGAAAGATTGGATAAAAATAGCATTCTTTTTGAAAACGATAAATTGCATTATGATAATATGGATAAAATCCCGCCCTCATTTTTGGATAGGTTTGGACTGCCTGGTTTCCGGTGAGAAAGTGTTTGAAAAAACGATGGCAATCATTCCAATAGTCTCCGAGCCCAAACCGAACGAGAAAAAGAAATAAACGATAAAGAAATTGCCTTGCAACAAGCCAAAGCGAATGGCGAGAGTGAAATGGTCGCCCAATTAGAACAGCAAATCCAAGAATTAAAAAATCAGCAAAAGAGTAATAATTTATCGGTTGAAAATCCCACTAAAAACAAGTTAATTATTTATTCGGTTATTGGTTTATCGGTGGCTATCTTAATCAGTATTACTATTCTAATGGTTAAAAAAGTTAAGAAAAATAAAATTAACTAATTTATATGAAAAAAACAAACAAACAGGAAAAAGTTATTCTTTTACAAGATACTCATTGAGGAAAAAAGCACGAAATAAAAGAGTTAAGAAAAGGATTTGTTATTAATTATTTATTACCGGAAAAAAAAGTTTTGCTTTGCAACAATAAAAATCTTTGGTGATTAGAAAAGCAGCACGCCCTAACAGAAAAAGAGAATTTATTATTAGTCGAAAAAAATAAAGAAATATACCAAAAAATCAATAATTTTACTCTGAAATTTACTTTAAAAAAAGATGAAAAAAATATGCCCTTTGGTTCCGTTGGTTTTAAAGAGATTTTACAGGAACTAGAAAAAAATGACTGCCTGTTAGAAAAAAAACATTTAGCAGAATTTCATCCCCTCAATAAATTAGGAGAAAATATAGTAAAAGTAAAATTAAGTAAGGAACTAATGGCTAATTTAAAAGTAATAATTAATTAAAATCTTATGGCTCGAGAAGAAATAAAAGAATTATTTAAAACCAGTGATTTAGACCCGGCTGATAAATTATATACTGCAAAAAAAGATTGTCTGGACGAAGTTAAAAGATTATTCACTACTAATTTGAATTACACTTATAGTCATAAATATTATGAAAACGAGCAAGGCGAGGATATTGGCATCGGAAAGAACCTCTTTGCTGAGGAAGCTCACGACAAAAATCTGAGCCGTCACCATCGCGAAGGTCGGTATTGTGAACCAATTTTTCTGCAACCCCATCAGGTCGCTTATGCTTTAGAGGAACGCAAGGCTCTTATCAAATGAATTCTAACCAAAGCCCCGTGAATGAATGTGCCGGTGGCGAAACCGAACTGAAACGCCTACCTAGTCAGTGTTGATACTGGTGAATTAACTGATGATGGTAGTAAAAAATTTTGTAAAATTACTGTCAATCCGGCCCAAATAATACGGGAACGAGACTGGCTCTTTGGCACTAACAACACTCCCATAGTAACCATGGCTAATTATCGGGAAAAAGTTCAGGACGCTCAGACCGCCGAGGAAGTCAAACATCTGAAAAAATTGCTATTTAACCCGTTGTGAGACACCCGCAACCCACTTTTTAATGAAAAAACCGCCGCCACCATGGATAAGGCTTTCCAAAAAGAAAGAGAGGAAACTAACGAGTTTTTGGACGGAGTCAAATATCATGTTCGGACCATGCTTCAACGAATGGGTTGCATTAACCGTGAAATTAATCGGTATAATTGAACTGATGAGGAAAAACGGTCCGGTTTGCGAGATAAATTTTGAAATCGCGAAATTGTGGGTCCGCTGAGTTGATTAGAAGCAATGAACGACACCACTGTGGCTGGTCGCCAAGCCCTACTCCAAAAAAAAATTGGTGTGGACACCCTTCGATTACATGCTGGTATGAAGTGGTCGTTGTGAGTTGGTTATGAATTATTGAAAAATGACGGACAATATTTGAACTGAGATAGTAAACTACTCGGTGCCACGTTCAATGGGTTAACTTACACTTTGGAAAAAGCCCGCGACGAACTGGTCCGGCGAGGGATAACCTACCACTGAAAACCGGAACCGACCAAGCCCAACCTTGACCCAGTGTCGCCACCACCAGCACCGACCAAGCAGTCTGAATCTCAACCCACTCCCAACCTGCCCAACAGTTCCGAGCCGGCTGAGGATAATTACCAAGGAACCACGGATATTCCCACAGCTCCTCTTTCGGAAGAAGAAACGGTCGCCAAATTAGCCGAAGTGAAAAAAAAACTCGCCCAGGTTGAGCCAGCAGTGAAAGGTCAAGGCTCCCAGTCGCCGCAAGAGGCTCGCCAGACCCTCAGCCAACTAGAAAGACAATTAAAACAATTGGAAGATAGCAATGCCCCGTGGTCGTCAATCGCCGAATTAAAAGACCAAATTGCCGGTTTAAGAAAACAATTAGCTGACATTGCCCCAATTTTAGCTTCCATTCAAGAATTATTGGCTAAAAATACCTCCGTTTTGGATAAGGTCAAGCAATATTTCCAAAAACATAATATTAAATCAATTAAATTAGAGGGAGAAGCGTGAATAATTGAGTACAATCATGGTGGTAATTTTACCGCTCCTACTGCTAGTATAACTGAATTTCATGAAATCAAAAATTATTTACAAAGTGCTAATAAAAAAGAACTTACCAGTCAAGAACTATTAAACATTAATAACGAAAATCCGAACAGTAATTCGTCGCTACCAACTTCTTCCAGCAAGAAAGGACTTTATATTACTGGCGGGATAATTATTGTCTTAGTGATTAGCGGAGTAATTTGGTTTTGATGGAAAAAAAAGAATAAAAAATCACGGCAAAACAGAAAAAAAACAGAAAAATTAATAATATAATATAAGAAGCAATGAAAACTATTAACCTAAACAATTTTGAAATAAAAAAACTACCTGATAGACGAGGTAACGAGTATTTTGTGATTATTAATAATGATAACCCCGATGAAGCTTATTTTTGCTTTCAAACCTTAGTCAAAGAGGGTTGAAATATTTTAGAAGACAAGTCCACTCCCGCTAGTATTGAAATTGAATATGAGGAAGGTGAACAAAACGGCAAGGTTTATAAAAGGGTAATTAACTTATATAATCTCGATGGTAATGTTCTTATTTAGTTAGGAGAGAATTTCCGAATTATGTAGGAAAATGTCAGAGGTAAGAAGTAGTCCCAACAAAAGCGGAATTTCGGCAGGAAAAATATCACTTATTTTAGTAATTATTTTTGGCAATTATATAGAACTTTACATCAAAAAAAGAAGTTCATCATAAACTTTTATATTTTATTTTATAAAATGTGATATATAGTGCTGAATTTTAAAAAAAATATTTGATTTCCTAAAATCTAAGTATTATGGAAGTTACTAAAAAAACTCTAATGACTGATTGTTTTTTTGATAAAAGAACTAATAAATTATCTTTCACCATTAAACTTCATACATGAACTCCAAAAATAGTTAGATATGAACAAGTGAATTATGTTAAATATCCAATTTATGATGGTTATTCAGAAAGAACAAAATTAATAAGAAAATTTGATAAGATAATCAATCCCATAAAATTTGTGAACGAAGATATTTTGGAATTAGATCTAGAAAAACATTTTATCTTGTCTATTATTGAAAAGATTTCAGTAATTCCAGAATGAAGAAAAAAAGAATTAGAATTAAAAAGGATTTTAGGTGTAATAGATACCGCCAAACAAAGTATAAGAAATTATGACAGAGAAAAGAAGTGGTATTCATTTAAAAAAACAGACTTCAATGAAGAACCAAGCAACTTTTGACTTCGTTTATTTTTTGCTCCTTTTACTCTTGGTCTTTCATTTATCGGTTATAATAGCCAGAAGCAAGCCTTATTAAATAAGGAAACTAATAAGAACAATAAAGAGTGGAATGGGAACCATAAAATTAAAATCGATCAAGAAAATTCTCTTCTTCTGAAAGAGATACAACAATTTAATGAAAAATGTAATAAAACTATTGGTTTTAATTGAAATCTTTATCACAGAACCAAAGCAAAAGAAATAATATGGTGAGATAAAGATATTTATGATGGTTGAAAGGATTTAAAACTTGCTTCCAACTTTTCCTTTCGGAACCTTAATGATAAAAAAGGAGTTTATATTATACGAAATGAAACGAAAAATAAGTGTTATGTAGGGCAGGCCAAAAGTATAGGCTTAAGACTAAACCAACACTTTCCAAATAGTGAGGTTATAAATACTAAAAATGCTGAATTTGCGAAGGATTGATATTCTGGTGATTATTTTTGTTATAAATATATTCTTTGTCAAACCAAGGATGAATTAGATAGTTTAGAAAAACAAAAAATTGAGGAATTTAATTCGTTTAGAGATGGTTATAATGGCACTGGTGGAAATAAATAAGTTTAAAATTAAAAGCGTCCTTTAAGAAAATAAATGAAAAGGTTTACTTTTCATTTTGATTAATTGAAAATTCCTCCACCCGAAAACGAAAAGGAGAAATAATTGGTGTAAAATTGTATATAATTGCCAAATATTAATTATTAAATGTCGAAGTCCTTTTATATCACTACCCCTATCTTTTATCCTAATGGCAAACTACATTTAGGTCATGCTTATACTATGGTTATGGCTGATATTATCGTTCGCTATAAAAAAAGTAAGGGTTATTTAGTTTACTTGCAAACTGGTAGTGACGACCATGGTGAAAAAATTGAAAAAAAAGCAATTTCACTAAATTTATCTCCCCAAGAATTAGTTGACAAAAATGTTTTGCTTTTTCAACAATTATGGAAAGAGTTAGGAATTTCCAAGCACACTTTCTATCGCACTTCTTCTCCTCTTCACAAAGAAAAAGTTCAAAAAATTTTTACTAAATTATTAGAAAAAGGTGATGTTTATTTAGGCGAATATCAAGGAAAGTATTGTATTACTTGTGAGGATTATGTTAGCGAAAGCAAAATTGTTAACCAAAACCTTTGCCCTAATCCTGATTGCCAAGTTGAATTACGAACAATTAACGAACCGGCTTACTTTTTGCGAGTTAGTAAATATTATTCTCGATTAAAAGAGTATTACCAGCAAAATCCGGATTTTCTTTTACCTGACCAAGCCAAAAAAGAACTTTTTAGCAATTTCTTAGACCAGAATGTTCCAGATTTATGTATTACCCGCAGTGATATTAAATGAGGAATTTCAGTTCCTAACCAAAAAAAAATGGTGATTTATGTTTGATTTGAGGCTTTACTTAACTACCTTAATTCTGACCCAGGAGAAAAATTTTTCCTTTCCTCTTTTTCCGAATTTTCTGATAAAAATGAAATCAGCAATGCCAAAGAAGTCTCGTGTGTGGCTATCCAAGATAAAAACAATAATTACCTTTTGGTTTACAATAAAAAATACCACCATTGGCAATTTACTGGTGGCGAATTAGAGCAAGGGGAAAACGCTGAGGAAGCAGCGAAAAGAGAGATATTTGAGGAAACTAATTTAGTAATTAAGGACTTAGAAAAAATTGCCGAAGAGAATTTTTATGTTAATGACATTTGGTGAAAATTTTATTTTTATCGAACAGACAAGTATTCGGGACAATTACTAATTAAAGAAAAAGAAACAATCGGCGAAGTTAAATTTTTAGAACTAAGTAAAATACAAGAAATTAACTCCCAGGACCACGACGAAGTAACTAAATACTTGCTGGAAAAACTAACTAATAAAAACCCAATCAATTGTGAAATCGTTCATCTCATTGGGAAAGATATTGCCCGTTTCCATGGGATTTATTGACCGACAATTTTAATGCTTTTGCAAGCACGTTTACCTAATAAAATACTAGCCCATGGTTGAATATTAAGCGGGGGTGGAAAAATGAGTAAGAGTAAAGGTAATGTGGTCGACCCTTTGGAATTGCTAAAAAAATATCCCCGTGACCTGCTGCGGGCCTACTTTGTTACCAAAATAAACTTTTTACAAAATGGAACATTGGAAGAAAACTTATTGCACGATTTCTATCAAGATTTTTTTGTTAATAATTTGAGTAATTTAGTTGCACGGGTAAATAAAATGCTCGTCTTATATAATAACGGTATTGTCCCAAAATTTACTAAGGAGAACAAAAACGAGAAACTAGAAAATTATTATCAAAAATGTTCTTTATCAGTAAGAGAATTTCAGGAAAAAATGAATCAATATAAACTTACTAAGGCTTTCGAACAAATTCAACTGTTAATTAATGAAAGTAATAAATTAATTTCAGATTTAGCTCCCTGAGAACTAGCCAAAAAAGGCGATATTGTTCTTTTACAGGCAACTCTCAATTATTTATCTAATGGAATAAAAATTATCGCTTTTTTACTTAATTGTTTCATTCCGGAGACTAGTGAAAAAATCTTTCAGATATTTAACTTTAGTCCGGAGGAACTTAACGATAATAACTTATTGGAATTTGCTTATTTGAATGAATTTAAAGTCAATTCCTTAACTAAACATTTATATACTGCACTAGGTATAAAATAAGTATATAATCTCATATTAAATAATACGAACTAATCAAACAAAAAAGCCAAGAAAAAGGTCGTCCCTTGAAAATAGTTTGTGATTGGGACGAAACTATTCAACCCCTCAAACCAGCCATGATTTACGAAAAAATGAGTCCTGATGCCGGAATTTCTCTTGCTGAGTTCACTGAGAGTTTTTGAGAAAATACTAATTTCACTAATCCCGAAAACCTCACTGGTGGAGGATTTGGAAAAGAAAGGAAACCAGGACAAAAAGAAATAAGAAGTTATGCAGAGGGCTATACAGGTAAAGAGGAAGAAAAAAGAGTCTTTAAACAAGAAATAATTGGTGTAAAAATTCAGTAATTTTTTTGGAGAAAAGTGAGTACAAACCTTAAAACTAATTTATAATTATATTAATAATAGCATGACTGAAAATATTACTAATGAAGAAAAAAAAAGGCTAAGCGAACTTGGAGTAAACGAATGCCATCCGAATTACGAGTTTAATGATTTAAAAAAAATACTTTGATGTGAAGATGTAGCAAAAAAAGAAAAAAAAATAAGCGACAAGTTTTCTAGCGGAATCCATCAAATAACTTTTCTTACACCTGAATTCGACGGTAATTTTACTTGTGCAATAGTTATTGATAACAACAGCGATGTTTGGGTGGTTGCTTATAACCCCTTTTCTCAAGCATCAAAATTAAAACTCGGCTTAACTGTGGTAAAAGTTTGAAGTTGCCTTAATGCTAGTGAAGCAAAAGCAAAAGCACTAAAAAGTGAAAAAGAATTAAATGAGAGTAATCCTATCTTGGCTGTGGCAACTAGTCATCGTGTTAGCGACAAAGTCAATTTTGAAAAAGTTACTTCTTCCCCTTATGTTTTTAAAAAAGATCTAATTTACAGCGAGATGGTAGGAATTAGTCCCGATGACTACATTAGTCCGTTAGATATCGTTAGAGTGAATAAAGGTTGAAATAATCAACAGTTTATTATTTACCTTGGAAGGGAGCAAATTTGTAATTATACTCAGGAAAAAGGTGCCCATTTTGACACTTGACAAAATTTATTTTCGCTTTCTACAAACAAAGACCTAACGATAACTTGCTTTCACCCAATAATTCCTTTCAAAAAAAAAGAAGAAATAACAAGACATATTGCCAAAGCGGTTAACAGCAATTTTGGGAAAGGAATCAAAGACTTTTTGGATGAGACTGGTTATAATTGAACTTATCGAAATGACGAACATTTTGTCAATCGTTGTGTTTATGGAATTGATTTTTCCCAAAAAGTAAGCGTTGACAAGGATAGAAAGTTTAACTTACAAGCAGAGATGAAAGAAAACAGTGAAAAACTCGATAATTTAACTTCTTCGAATGTATCTAGTGAGATAAATTATATTAAAAATCTAATAAGTTGGTTCAGCAAGCCGGAGCAAGAAAATCGATTTGAAACTCATGTTTTAGTTAAACCGAAAACCAGTTGTAAAATACAATAATTATGAATCAAATCTCTTCTCTTTATCAACTAATCAAACAAAAATCTCAAAAAAAAGGTCGTCCGTTAAAAATCGTTTGTGATTGGGATGAGTGTTTATTTTCATTTCGGGCAACGGGTATTTCCAATTTTGCTAACAGTGAAAAACCTTTTAAGCAATTTTTTGAAGAATTTTGAGAAAATGCAGTTAGCGAACCTAATGAGCATGAAAACCCTAACAATCCCAGTGCAAGCAGAAAATTTATTTACAAAGGAACTGATAAAGAGTTAAGAACAGCTTATGAAAAGTTTGAAAAATTATATAAAGAAAGAAATAAAGATTCCAATAAGAATGCTGAAAAATACAAGAAATTAGGGGTAGTTGACAGTCAACATATTCTCTCTACCACTGATGACATATTAAAAGCTTTAAAAGAAGGTTTAATTAGTGACTTAAAAATTGTTACTGCCAGTTATGTTATTAATAAAAGCAGTCCTTCTAATGTAATTAAAGCAAAAAGAAAAAGATTTGCTAGAACTTTCGGTAAATTTCCCCAGTGCAGTTTTTATCTACAGGAAATTGAAAAAGTCAATGGTCAAAACAAACCCCATCGTTGAGAGAAAGTAAAGGAAATATGCCCTGATTTTGATATTTTCATGGATGATGATAGTTATTGAATAAAATCAGTCAGAGAACATTTTCCTGACAGGACTTTTGTCATTAATGATTATAAATACAGTAGAGACGAAGCAATAGGAGACAATATCTACCACATTAAAACCACAGTCTCTGACCTTAAAGACGAAGACTTTGCTATTGCCGCTTTAGAACTAAAAACCAAACAGTTAGAACAACAATTAAAAACTAGCAAAGCCGAGAGAGAGAGAGGAAACCTACTTCTGATTGGTGGGGGAATAGCATTTTTGGTTTTAGTGATTTTGTTTGTGCTAGTCTGGAAAATAAGAAAGAAAAAATAATATTTATAAAAATTTTTGGGAGGATGGCAGAGTGGCCCATCGCACCTGACTGTAGATCAGTAAAACCGGGGGTTCAAATCCCTCTCCTCCCACCAAAATAATACAAGATATTAGAGTTATACATAAGGGATTATTATAAGGTTAATTTACTATATTATTAATTTTAATCTGTTTCAAGAACACATCCTTATCAAATTTTTTTAAATAAAATTACTTATAACTATGCTGCTGTGCAGTGAATGTTTTGAAGAAATCGAAAAAGTAAAAGAAATCCAGATTAAAGACTCGATATTTTGTAAAAAATGTGCTGAATCTAATGAATTAATAAAAAAATAAGTTACTGCTAAGTGTCATTCATGTTCTAGACTGATTTACAGCGATAAAAGGATTTACGAGGTTTTCTTAAGTTGAGGTATTTCGTGATACGTAAGTGCCAGCAAATCTGAAAGGTTGGTTCAATGCCATTACTGTTATAAAAAATGATTAGCCAAAGTTAAAAAGGAAAGGAAATGATGAAAACAGAAAAGTCGAGCATTAGTAATTTGTGCTATTGCATCATTAATTTCATTATCGCTTCACTTTTTTTTAAAACCAAATAGCACTGTGGATATAATTGCACTCATTGTCTTTTTGATTTCATCTTCCTTTTTTGTTTTCATTTTGTATTCAGCTCCGGAAAACGATGGGAGGTTTGTGATGAGTTCAGAGAAAGAATAATTTATTTTTTGTTAATAATGACAGAAGAGTAAAATATATTAATTTATGCGAATAAAAAATTGAGAAAAATGGTATTGAGGAATAGTATTTGCCGTAATAGTTGGCTTGCTTATTTGAATTATTTTGCAGGAAAAAGGATTTGTATTTACCGACAAAAATGGTGTAGAGAAAGAAATTAGTAAATTGCATTCTTCTTTGATAGTTCTTGTCAATATAATCCCAATTTTATTTCTTTGATTTGTGCTGAGATTTTGGTTTTTGAAAACTAACGACTTCATTTGTAAATACTGCCATAAAGAATATGCAGGGGGATTTGAAACCAAAAAAGAAGTTTGCCGGGATTGTTATGAAAAAAAAAAAAAAAAAAAACAGTAATTAATGAGCATTGGCAATGATAACTAGAAAAAATTGAGAATTGTTAAAGCAAAAACAAACTGAACTCGAACAATTAATTGTTGAAAAAAATCCTACTAATTTAAAATGAGTTTCCCATTTAAACGCGGAAAGATTAAAATTGGCTCTGCTGGTAGAAGTCGGTGAATTTGCTAATGAAATAAAATCTTTTAAGGCTTGACGAAAAAAACCGGAAATTGATTGAGTCAAAGCCAAAGAAGAATTAATTGATTGCTTAAGTTATTTTTTGGGATTAGTTAATATTTATCAAATAGATTTTCCCTCTAATTTTGCTCCCGAAAAACGAGATTGACCGTTTAATAAACTACTTTTGAACTTTTTTGCTAAAACTAATAATTTATTTATACCAGAAAGTCAAGAATTATATAGTTTGGAAAAAGTTAAGATGCTGACCAAAAGACCTTTCACGACTGGTTAAAAACTTTTAATGAAATATGCGACAAATTACAAATTGGCGAAAATGAATTATTAGACATTTATTTAGAAAAAAATAGAACTAACTTAAAAAGAGTTCATGCTAAATAATTTTTGGGGTGTAGCCAAGTGGTAAGGCAAAGGACTTTGACTCCTTGATCGTTGGTTCAATCCCAGCCACCCCAGCCAAGTAAAATTAGTTTATGGATAAAACTGGTAAGCGTTTCCAAATTTTTATCAATATCAGTTTGCTACTCAGCATCTTATTAATTTGCTTACACTTACTAAGTAAAAACTGTGTTTAGTTCCCTCCTTATCTATTCTGTTGAAGAACTATTTTAAGCGTTTTTATTTTCAATCTTATTCTTTTGTTGGTTTGTCTTATATTCTGAATAACCAAAAAATTAAATTAAACTTGCTATGGAAAAAAATAAACTAGAATTATTAATATTAGAAAATTGCCCATGACAATAAAAAAGTTGTGGCGAGAAGTTTTTCTCGTTATTTTCCTTAACTGAATAGTTATTTTTTTGGTCGGTTTGATTTATCAATATCTTTTTGTGCCTTATGTTTTTGAAGAGAAAACTGTTCTTTTTGCTAAATTTCTAAGAACAGTTTTCTTTATGGGAGTTTTAGGTTTCTTTATCCGTCTCATTCTGTTTTGAATTGGGGGAAAAGTAAAACTAAAAAGAAAATAATGTCCTGTTAACTCAGCGGTAGAGTGTTTGCCTTTTAAGCAAAAAGTCGGAGGTTCGATCCCTCCACAGGACACCATTAAGCGGGATTGGTGCAATTGGTTTAGACACGCCAGACTTAGGATCTGGTGCCTATTTAGGCATGAGGGTTCGAGTCCCTTGTCCCGTACCAATAACGATATTATCAAAAAATTAATAAAAAATATATTAAATATGAATAACGATATAGATACAAATTTAAACAATATAACAGAAGCAGAGAGAGAGAGAGAGAGAGGAAATAAAGAAATCTCACCGAACTAAATTTATAATTTATATTTGCCTATGATTTTTTGCTGGCTGACCGTTAATTATTTTTTCCACGGTCTTAGGAGCTCTAATTGGTGGGGCTTATGGAGCAGTGATTTGTTTTTGATTAGGGGTAATAACTGTTATCACCTTTTTGACCTTGTGGATTTACCACTTGATTAAATGATTAAAAAGTGAAAAAAGATAAGTTTAATTCTTTTACTTAGAAAAAAGTAAATGACAAAAATTATATACAAGTTAGATAAAAAAAACAGTTTTGAATATATAATCATTAAAGACCATGCTAACTATGCCGAGCAAGGCCGAGATATAGTCTGTGCTGCTATTTCGGCCATTGCTAACGGAACCATTAATTTCCTCCAAGTTTATTATAAAAATGATTGTCAAATATCTTGCTTACCGGCTGAAATAAGTATTTATCCCCAAAGCGACAACCCGGACTGTCAATTATGTTTACGATTAATGCTTTACCAATTAGAAAACATTGCTAATTCTTACCCTGATTATTTAGAGATTAGAAAGAAAAAGGAAAACTAATATTTATAAAAATTACTCTGCCAGCAATAATTTAGCCGATATGAATCAATCTCTTAATGAAGAGCAAAAAAAAGTTTATGAATTAATAATTAAGCAAAAAGCTAATGTATTTTTTACGGGAGCGGCCGGAACCGGAAAAAGTTTTCTCTTGCAAAAAATAGTCTCAGCCTTGGAAGTTATGCATGGTAGAAAAAGTATTGGCATTACGGCTACAACTGGCATTGCCGCAGTTAACATTAGTGGTGTTACTCTTCATTCTTTTGGCGGAATCGGATATGCTGATGAATTGACGACCGAGGAATTAATAACTAAAATTCAAAAACAAAAATCAAAAAAGTGGACTAATAATTGAAAGGCAATCAATACTCTAATAATTGATGAAGTTTCCATGTTGGATGGCGAATTATTTGACAAATTAGAGTATATTGCCCGAAAAATTCGCAATAATCCGCGACCGTTTGGGGGTCTCCAATTAGTTTTGGTTGGTGATTTTTTCCAACTGCCGCCAGTCAATGCTAAACAATTATGTTTCGAAAGTAAAGAATGAAAAAATGTTATTAATTATAATATTCAGTTGGTAAAAGTCTATCGCCAAAAAGATACTGAACTTATTGAATTACTTAACGAACTAAGATTTGGTCAACTTTCAGAGAAATCACAAATAATTTTGAAAAAAATCGAAGTTGAACCTAATTATCCCAGTGATGGCATTCAACCGACTCAGTTAGTAGCAACTAATAGCGAGGCAAAAAAGATTAATTGTTTAGCACTAGAAAAAATTAACCAGCCATCTTTTTTTTATCAAGCGGTTGATTGAGAAGAAAAAAAAAATTATTCTGGTCACTTACAAGAATTAATTAAAAATTGTCTAGCAGCAGAAAATTTAGAGTTGAAAAAAGGGGCTCAGGTAATGTTAATCAAAAATTTAACTGACAAATTAGTTAATGGCTGTCAAGGGGTAATAATTGGTTTTCGTAATGTCAAGGGGAAGGATTTGCCACTGGTTAGATTTGTTAACGGCATTGACAAAGTTATCGGTTGAGAAGAGTGGACCATAGAAACACCACTTTACCGAATTATCCGAGCTCGACGAACCCAAATACCTTTGGTACTTAGTTGGGCCATTACTATTCATAAAAGCCAAGGGCAAACTATTGAACGATTAAAAATTGACTTGGGTCGAGTTTTTGAAAAAGGCCAGGCTTATGTCGCATTATCGCGAGCCTGTTCTCTCGATTCTTTACAAGTCAAAGGATTTACCAAAAACAAGATATTCGTTGATGAAAAAGTAAAGAAATTTTATCAAACTTTAGTAAAGATATAATCATTATTTATTGAACTATTTGTAGTTTTAATTCTTAATCAAGGGTTTGCCAAATTCTCTAAAACTTTTGATATAGTTTGTTCGAGCGGATAATGGTTTGACACAGGAAAAATTAAAGGCAGAGTAGCTCAGTTGGTTAGAGCAAACGACTCATATTCGTTAGGTCAGAGGTTCGAACCCTCTCTCTGCTACCAATTAAAAAAATGGAATATATCGCCACTAAATAAGACCAAGTGAATTTTAAGTTTTTAGATTAAATTTACAATGTTTATTTTTTTCTAATATTATTTTTTGAGCCTTAAATTTGCGAGAGGGGGAAAAACAACTAAAAGGAACGACAAAATAAAGCAAACTAGGATAAAATATTAATTTATTAGACCCAACAATTATCCCCTTAACTATTAAATGAATCAAATACACCAGCCGGTAATGCTAAAAGAGATTTTGGACTACCTCGATTTAAAAGAAAATGGTATTTATATCGACGGAACTTTTGGCACTGGAGGACACGCACGAGAAATATTAAAAAAACTAAAAACAGGTCGGTTGATTGCTTTCGAATGAGATAAAAAAGAAGCAGAGTTAATTCCGAAAGATAAATTATTCTCTTCTTCCCAATTTCTCTTAATTAATGACAACTTTGCTAACTTAGAAGTTCATTTAAATAAATTAAATGTCAGTTTCGTAGATGGTTTTTTGTTTGATTTAGGCTTATCCTCTTATCAGTTATCAGAAAGCGAAAGAGGTTTTAGTTATCGATTAAACTCACCACTGGATATGCGAATGAGCCAAGAAAATAAATTAAGTGCCGAGTATATTATTAATAATTATTCTTATGAGAAATTGGCCGATATTTTTTACCATTATGGCGAAGAGAGAAAAGCTCGAACCATGGCTCGAAAAATTTGCTACTGACGAGAAAAGGAAAAAATTACTACTACTCAACAATTAGTAGGAATAATTGCCTCTTGCTTCCCTCGCAAGAAAAATAAACACCCCGCTCGTAAAGTATTTCAGGCCCTTCGGATATGTATTAACAACGAATTAGAAAATATTTCCCAAGCGTTAGAAAGTGCGATTAAGTATTTAGTTATTAAGGGAAAGATTATTGTCCTTAGTTATCATTCCTTAGAAGATAGAATTGTTAAGCAGATATTTAAAAAATATAGTTTGCTAGGTAATTTTCAGATTATTACCAAAAAACCTTTAATGCCCACTTTGCAAGAAATCCAACAAAACCATCCAGCTCGCAGTGCTAAAATGCGGGTTTTATTGCGGATTAATTAAATAATTTTTTCTTTTGTTAGTTTATTGTATAAATCTTTCTCGCTTAACTCTTCTTCTTGACCTTGGTAATAAGCATGAATCAATTTTAGTACTTTTTTTTTCACTTCGCTCTCGCCAATTACTAGATAGTAAGGGATTTTTTTTTTATGTATTTGGAGAATACGATAATTAAGGGTTTTTTTTGGAGAAATAATTTTTACTCGCAATTTACCTTTGATTAATTCTTTTTTTATTTCTTCGCAATATTTTTTCACTTCCTCCTCCTCATTCAAAGGTAAAATAGCCAGTTGGCAGGGTGCTAATCAAAAAGGTAATTTGCCGTCAGTTTGCTCCAACAATAAAGCAATAAAACGCTGATAAGTCCCAATTGGTGAGTGGTGAATAATGGCGGTGGTTTTTAAGTTTTGTTTGGCGTCAATATAATTTAAGCCGAATTTTTGGGGTAAGATAAAATCTAATTGAATAGTAGAAATAGTAATATTTTTGCCGTCGGCCGCGGTTATTTCTAAATCTAATTTGGGACCATAAAAAGCCGCCTCTCCTTTGAGGATAACATAATTTAATTTCAGTTCATTTAAAACACTAATTAGAGTATCTTCGGAATATTTTCATAATTCCTTATCTGAATGATATTTTTCCGAATTATGAGGGTCATGGAGGGCACAAACTAGCCGTGAAATTGGAAAATTGAATGCTGCCAAAATATCGGCTATATAACGATAATTTTTCTTTAATTCCTCTTTTAACTGCTCGGACGACACGAAAATATGGTGGTCGGCTAATTCCATTCAGCGAACTCTTTCTAAACCTTTCAGTGCTCCCGAAGCCTCATAACGAAATAAAAGGGAATTTTCACACAGTCGGAAGGGCAAATCACGGTAAGAACGAGGTTTTTGTCGATAAATAAGACAATGATGAGGACAAGTCATTGGTCGCAAATAAAAGGTCTCATTATCACGGCTAATTGCTGGGAACATAGAATCTTGGTAATGGTCCAAATGTCCGCTCGTTTGATATAAATATTCACTTCCCAGAATAGGGGTAATTACTTCTTGAAAGTCGAGTTCTTGCTGTTTTTTTTGTAAAAAGTTTTGGATTTGATTGCGAATAACTACTCAATTAGGTAATAAAATTGGTAGACCTTGCCCGGCTTTATCGTCCAAAATATATAAATCTAATTCTTTGGCAATTTCGCGGTGGTCTTTATTTTTTTTTTGTGAAATTGGCGGATAAGCACTGTTATTTTTCTCCATTGCTAATTATATAATTTTATCGAAAATTTTCATGCCAAAGACAAAGAAATAAAAGAAGTGAAAAGAGCATCACACTTCCTAATAAATTCACTATTAGCGAAACCCAAAAACTTTTCAGCTGCTGGTTAACAAAGAGTTCGGTTCCACCTACTATTCAGGCAAAACAAAAGAAAAAAAAGAAAATTCCAAAAAAACACCTGGCGAATTCTCCCGCTGATTTTATTGATATTTTGCTTACCATCAATGACATTACTGACGCGAGAAAAATTTCTGGGCTGAATATTGAGCAGAGCAAAAAAATAATCATCGAAAGAAAAACCAATCTCATTATCAAATTTAGCAAGCGGTAAACCAATCTACTTTTGCTATTTCTCCGTTTCATAATCTTTTGTAACCACTATATCAATTATTTTATCTGCATTAAATCACGAGGAGAAAAACGCTGAGGTTTCACGTTAGGTGAAAATAAATCGGATAAGTTATGTTTCATTTACTTTTTCAATAGGTATAGATAAACAAAATAGTCATGGGCAGGTAAGTAAGAAGTAATAATTTAATAGTGGTCGAGTTGAAAAGCCCGCCGCCGATAGTAGGACCAACCCAATGGAGCAGAATAAAACTTAAACCAGAAAAAATATAGGTGAGAGGGTTTTTCTTCCCAAAAATCTCAAAAATTAGATAGCGGAACACACATTCCTCAACAATGGGGGCAATAATGACGATAGTAATAAAAGCAAAAATCGGGGAAATACTATAAAAAGGTAGATTAGCGGGTTTTTTTGGTTTCTTTCCTAGTTTCTGCTCTCTCTCTCTCTCTCTCTCTCTCTCTGTTGCTCTTTTTTTACTTGCTCTTCCAGTTCCTCTTTGGTAGTTAATTTGTCCTCGACCATTTTGGCTACTACTTCTTGCTGTTGTTTTATTATCAATTTTTCCCGCGTTTTTCTCGTAAGAAAGGCTGTAAAGACAAATACCACTACTCCGAAAGCAACCATTATCAGATAGTTTATTCTTTCTTGTGGTCATTGGCGAAAACCTCAACTTCATCAAGTTTTTAGCGTATTTCAAATAAGTTTCCTCTGCGTAGTAATAACCCAAATAGCACAAATAATCATGGGAAGTTGAAATTTAAACTGTTGCCAGATTGCCGTTTTTTCTGCGATATTCATATTAAGTTATTTTATTATTAAGCAAAATCAGCAAAAACTTGCTACCGAAAATTAAAAAACCAATCAAATAACCAACTACCCGAAGTCTTATTTCTTTATCCTTTATTTCTATCCTTATTAGTTTAAAAAATAGGTAATATTCAGTTAAGAAAACTAGGCTCGTTATTGCTATTAGTTCGCAAATGATATAGGAGGGATGAAAAAAAATTAGCATTTCAATTCCATAAGTCATAAAATAGCGTTTGTAAATTAGGGGAATTAGCAAGAGGAGTAGGAAAATAAGTAAATAAAAGATTAACCTTATAACCATTTTTTTTATTATTTTTGCTCCCATGGTTGCCTATTTATTTTTTGTCTTTAACTTTTTGGGCTCGTTGGCGATATTTCTCCACCGCTCCTACTTTCATTTCACTAGCCGAAGCACCAGTATAAAAAGGATTACATTTACTACAACTTGTTGTCCTGATATTTTGTGCGGAAGTAGAGGTAGTTTGATATTCTTGGCTACAAGAAATACAATGATAAATAATTTGATGAATAGTTAAGTGAATTTTTTTTTTCATATACTATATTTTTTTCTTGTTCGCTGCTCTGACTTTAACTAAAAATACTTTGAAAAACAAAATTGCTCCGTCGATAATTCCAGCCATAATTACTTAACTATTAATAGGTTTATTTTCCTGTAATAAAGGACTAAGAGAATATTTACAAATTAATTTTAGAAACACACTTTACTTACTCTGGCTTTGAGTTAGTGCGGTAAGTCGAACAATGCGGACAAAGATGGTGAAGTATCTTAGTTTTTTGGCAATTAACACACTTAATTAAGGGCTGATTAAGAGCTTTTTTGTGAAAACTCCAACTCTTTGGTCCGCGACCTTTTTTAATTCGGGTGGATGATTTTCTTCGAGCGGGAACTGCCATAATATATTATTTTACTCAATATTAATTTGCTGAGTTTTAATTTTGGCGGATTTAGGAACTGTTATAAATAGTACTCCATCCTCAATAGCAGGCTTTAATGGCTTCTTTTTCCGCCGCGGTCGGCAAAAACCATAAAAACTTCAGAGTAGTTTTGTTTAGCGTCGTTTCTTTGCTTCTTTTTTTCTTTTCGTTCCCCGCGAATTCGTAAAATATTTTTCTCGACTTCAATCTCGGTTTCTTTTTTTTTAATTCTCTTTCTCTCGAAAAAAGCACCGGACTTTGAGTGATTTTGCTCTTTTTAAATGTTCTTGTAATTTAAATAGTCTCTCTTGTATTTTTTAAAAATTATTTTTAATTATATCCTTAATTGCTTGATAAGTTTCCTCTAATTTATCTTTCTCTTGATGATAGATAAGTATGTGGCCGTCAGTCTGAACTTCGATAGTCGAACCGGTTTCCTCAGTCAACTGATTAATGGTTTTGCCGCGAGGGCCAATAATTAAACCTACTTTTTCATTGCCAACGTAAAACCGCCGGCACTTAATAACTTGCACCGGTAGAGAAGGACGAGGATGAAAAATGTGTTTTTTCATTTTTCCCAATAAGTAAAGCCGAGCCTGACGGGCTTTTGTTAAACATTCTTGCAATATTTCCTTAGCAATTCCTTGATTTTTCACATCTAATTGTATTGAGCAAATGCCTCGCTCAGTTCCAGCAATTTTAAAATCCATTTCTCCCAATTTGTCTTCTAAGCCATTAATATCGCTGTAAATTTGTCCTTCAAATAATCCTAAGGCGATTCCGGCCGCCGGTCTAATTAGGGGAACCCCGGCCGTCATCAGTGCCAAAGAGGTGGCACAAATCGAAGCCTGAGAAGAAGAACCATCCGAAGAAAGAACTTCGGAAACTACCCGAGTGGTATAAGGAAAAACATCATTTTGCGGAATCAGATAATCAAAAGTTTTTTCCACTAACTCACCATGACCTATTTCTCGCCGGGAAACTGCTCGATAACTAGCAATTTCATTAACCGCAAAGGCCGGGAAATTATAATGATGAATAAAATGCTTATAAGAACGAGAAAAAATGCTATCGATTAATTGCTTTTCACTAATTTTGCCAATGGTTATGACCGAAAGCACCCTGGTATCTCCCCGAGCAAAGACCGCACTGCCATGAACGTTAGGCAAATAATCAATTTGGATTTCTAGGGGACGGATTTGGTGGGCTGGTCGACCATCTAATCGTACTTGTTTTTCTTGTCAAAGTTTTCGCATTCAATTTCGTAAACCTTGGTCCCAAATTTGCTCTACTAAGCCCTTGATATATTCTTCCTCTAATTGCGGACTTTTGACATAATATTCCTTGGTTAACTCTTGACGAATTTCTTTCATTTTTTTTTCTTTTTCTATCCAGGAAAGACTGGAATTGCAAAGGATTTTTTCTAGTTGATAATTCACTTTTTCTTTTACCCACTCGTCTCCATTTTTTTCCTCTTTTTTTGTACTATTTTTTTCTTTTCTAACTCCTAAACTGCTAGCAATATGTTGGAAAAAGCCGATTAGTAATTGAATCTCTTTCTGAGCCAATTCTATGGCTTTTTCTAGTTCTTTTTCGCTTATCTCGCTAGCACCTGCTTCCAGCATGGTAATATTTTTTTCGCTAGCACTGACAATCAGTTCAAGAGAAGAGTTATTTAATTTTTCACTACTGGGATTAACAATAAAATTTCCGTCTTTTCCCCCAACGATTACTGCGGCCAAAGGAGTATGAAAATAAGGTAAATCGGGAGCCAGATAACAAACTAAAAAAGAGTTTCAAATAGCCACTACTCGCGGGTCACACTCTGGGTCGAGGGAAAGAACGGAATTAGTTATCTGAATTTCGTGGTTGCTGGGAAAAGGGAAAAAACTTCGCAATGAGCGGTCAATTAAGCGGGCAGCGGTAATGATGTCATAACTCGGCTTGCCTTCACGTTTGCCAAATACGTTAGGTATTCGTCCTATGGCATAAAATTTCTCCTCCAAAGTGATAGTTAGTGGAAAAAAAGAAGCGTTACTTTTAGTAAGTTGCTTAATAGTTAAAACAGTCAGAACAGTAGTATTACCATAACGACAAATAATAGACTTATCGCTTTTACTGGCTAATTGGTCAATTTCAAATATTACTTCTTTATTTTGGAAAGTAAATTCAAATCTATTTTTTGATTTATTAAGAAAATTAGGTTTAAAAACGTCTTGGCTCATATTAATCATTATTTTTGACTGATAACGAATATTTAACAAGGCGAATTTTTGGCTGATTTAGAGATAAAAATTTAGTAAAGAAATGTTTCTAACATAACGAAATTAATAATAAGCACTAGTTTTTAATGATGCTCTTTCTTCATATATGTTTTTAAAAGTAATAAAATTTTACTATATATTTTCCGAATAAATGAATAAAGAACTATCGCTAGAAGAGTTAAGAAAAAAAAAACTTAATAATTTATCCCCCAACCCTTTTCAACAAACTAAATTTGTCAGAAACAATAATATCGGAAAAATTATCCAACTATTTTCTCAGTTTAGTAAAGAAGAGTTAGCCAAAAAAAGCGAACAAGCCAGTATTGCCGGAAGATTATTAAGAATAAGGAGTTTTGGTAATTTAATTTTCGCTGGTTTAGCCGACCAAACCGGAATTATTCAATTAAAAGTCAGCAAAAATAAAGATTTCACAGAATTAGATATTGGTGATATTATCGGTGTAAAAGGAACTGTTTGCAAAACTGATAAAGGTGAATTAAGCATAGAAGTAAAAGAATTTATTTTATTAAGTAAGTGCTTAAAACCTATTCCGGACACCTCCTATTACGGCTTTACTGACACTGAGGAAAGGTTTCGTAAACGCTATCTGGATTTTATCGTTAATAGAAAAAATAGAAAAATTTTCATTACTCGCCACAAAA